TTGATTCCTGATGTCAGATTTGTGTCCATTAATTCTTTTGCGTAGAGACTGTCCGGTTTGGCCAATGTCCGGTTTTGCCACTGCAAAATGAAATACATGCAATCAGACGTCTTACAAAGAGCCCGAATAACAGTAACAGGAGAAGAAATCGAAGAAGTGGAACAGTACTGTGACAGACCCAGACCAGTGGGGTACAGGAGTCTGGTAGAGGGCAAATATACTGGTCACTGGATGAATAGTTTTCTGTTCCCTGAGTGACCAGAGCAGGGGCTGCACTAGAGTAATCAGGAACCTGCTAGAACCAGTTAAGGCAGGCAGGCTAATTAGGACACCTGGAGCCAATTAAGAAGAAGCTGCTAGAATCAATTAAGGCAGGCTAATCAGGGCACCTGAGTTTTAAAAAGGAGCTCACTTCAGTTTGTGGTGCAAGTGTGAGGAGCTGGGAGCAAGAGGTGCAAGGAGCTGAGAGTGAGAGGGTGTGCTGCTGGAGGACTGAGGAGCACAAGCGTTATCAGACACTAGGAGGAAGGTCCTGTGGTGAGAATAAGGAAGGTGTTTGGAGAAGGCCATGGGGAAGTAGCCCAGGGAGTTGTAGCTGTCATGCAGCTGTTACAGGAGGCACTATAGACAGCTGCAGTCCACAGGGCCCTGGGCTGGAACCCGGAGTAGAGGGCGGGCCCGGGTTCCCCCCAAACCTCTCAATTGACCTGGACTGTGGGTCCTTCCAGAGGGGAAGGTCTCTGGGCTGCTCCCCAACCCACATGGTGAATCTCTGAGGCAAGAAAATCCGCCAATAAGCGCAGGACCCACCAAGATACAGGGGGAACTTTGTCACAGTACATATATTTGGGACAAGAAGTAAATATGTGCCAAGACCTGAATGGAGAACTCTCGTGAAGGATTCGGGCAGGATGGTGTGTGTTTAATTCCATCAAAGACGTCCTCAAAGGAAAAATCGACATGACCACACATACAAATATCTTCAATTCAACAGTGCTGCCAGCCATGCTGTATGGCAGTGAAACGTGGGCACTGACAAAGAGAGAAGAGCGGCGGCTGTTGGGAGCTGAAAGGGCAATGGAATGAGCTATGTTGGGAATTTCCCTTCTGGATCGCATCCCAAATGAAATGATCAGAGAACACAGCGGCGTGAAAGATATTGTCGTGGAATGCAGACATAACAAGATGTGATGGGCGGACCACACAGCACAGCTCACGGACAATAGGTGGACCGCAATCATTACTGAGTGGTACCCGCGAGAACAGAAAAGACCACCCGGTCGGCCTCCAGGAAGATGGGAAGAGGACATTGCTAAACGTTTCGGATGAACGTGGAGAAGAAAGGCAAGAATGGCGGACGTGTTGTGATCGGTGCAGTCTCAACGACAGCTGAAGACCAATCGATCGAGGTGATCCAGGTGATTAGGAACAACTTTTTCACTAGGAGGGTAGTGAAGCACTGGAATGGGTTACCTAGGGAAGTGGAGGAATCTCCTTCCTTAGAGGTTTTTAAGGTCAGACTTGACAAAGCCCTGTCTGGGATGATTTAATTGAGAATTGGTCTTGCTTTGAGCAGGGGGTTGGACTAGATGACCTCCTGAGGTCCCTTCCAACCCTGATATTCTATGATTCTATGATTCATTGCTGACCATTGTGTAACAGCTCATTGAGGGATGTAACACTGTCATTGTGCTCACAAAGAACCTAGCAGTAATAACTGGCCATACCCAGAAAGAAACAAAAATGTGACACACTGGTACAGGACTGCTCCCAGGCCCTCCAAACTGGCATCAGTACGTAGGATAAGCGGTTTGCTTGGATCAGCAAAGACTAGGACTGGAGCATGAGTTAGGTGAGTAATGATTTCCCGAAAAGCCCTTTTACATCTCTCATCCCACTGTGGCCCAAATGGTTCGAAAGGGCCATAGTGTCTCTGCACAGGAGGCTTTGGGGGCCTACTCTTATTCTTGGTCTAAGATTTGTTCTTGTTGGACTGGTATCTCCTGGTAAGATCATTTAGAGGTTTTACAATCGAAGCATAGTTCTTCACAAATCTGCGGTAGTAGCCACTAAATCCAAGAAACGTCTTGCGTTCTCTGTAGTTACTTAGACGTGGCCAGGAGTGAGTGCTTCTATTTTATCGGAATCAGTATTCCCACCCTCTTGGGACACGATGTGACCCACATACTTCACTGAGGTTCAGCAGAACTGGCATTTGGCAATTGAAAGCTTGAAACCATATGCCTCCAACCTACCAAGCTCTTTAGGAAGTCTTTCTTCATGCTCCTCCAAGGTTCTTCCAAACACAGTCAGGTCATCCAAATAAACTAACACTTGCAGTAAATTCATGTCTCTCACGACTTTCTCCATAAGACGTTGAAATGTGGCAGGTGCCCCAGAAATCCCTTGGGGCATGCGTTCAAACTGGTAGAACCCTAATGGGCAGATGAAGGCTGTCTTCTCCTTATCTTCTTCTCCCAGAGGGATCAGGTAGTATCCACTCCGAAGATCCAACACAGATAATCACTGGCTATCCAGCAAACAGTCCAAGGCATCTTGTACTCGAGGCATGGTATATTGGTCAACTATAGTGCCCCTGTTTAGGGTGTGGTAGTCAATACAAATCTGGATTTTCCCATTCTTCTTATGGACCACCACAATGGGAGAGGTGTAGGGGCTGTGGGACTCTGTAATGATACCATTCACAATCAGCTCTTGAAGATGTTGGCGTACATCTTCCATCTCAGAGAGAGCAATCTTCCTAGATCTCTCCCTGAAGGGTCGGGGGCCTGGTAGCCTGATGTGGTATTCCACTCCCTTGGCACATCCCATGTCCCACTCATGCAGCGAGAATACCTTGAATCGCTCACAAAGCTTCTTCCTCAGGCGATCCTTCCACTCCTCAGACAACGGTGAGTCCCCGAAGTCAAACTTTGCCTGATCCATCACCGGAACTTCAGCTTCACACTGGGGTCTCACAATGGTTTCAGGCTCAAAGATGTCAGCAATCTTCTGCCTGGTTTTACAAGCACATTACAGCTTGTTTCATTAGCAATCAGTATAGTCACCTCTTCCTGGGCTTCAGCAGGTAGGGTTATGACTCCACTGAGAACCAGCACCCCTTCTGGGAGCTCTCCCTCGGTCGGCTGCTCTACCACTGCTAATGTTCCCTTACTGCCTTTTAGGCAGATACTCATGTCAATCACTTCCTTTTCTGTCATTGAAGGCACCACTAAGTGACTGGGCCAGCATACCTCAATGCTCCCACCGGCAAATCAGGCATCACTTCTCTTGTGTCCACAATTTTTCTGTAGGCTGCGGCACAATGTGTGTGTATAACAAGGTGTTCTGGTATCGCAAAAATGGTCCAAGATCTATAGCGGATCCCTACGGATTTGCAGGCTCTAGTTCTGGGTGCATGTTCCCAGCTGCGTATGGCAGTTATACTTAGGGCTCTTTCCACTGCAGAGCGCGACTGTGGATACCAGCAAGATCCCCGTATCTCAAGCGTGAGAGATGCCCAAGAAGCTGCAGGCAGCGGCGTGTGTTTAATGTACCTTTATTAAACCAGTGACTATAAACCCAAAGGCAACAAATATCGAGATTAGGGAATGAAGGTAAATGTGGACACACACTGGCTGGCGGGGGTGGAATCTAACGGCGTTATTACATTAAACATGATCTGCGGCAGGGAGTGAATGAGTCAATAAAGCATCACATGATCGCAAGACGCTGTGATTAGAATCGATACTGACTGTCAGCCTGTTGATACAGCGATGGCACATGGTACCCGGCCATTTATTGTGAGTTGTTTGTATTACGGTAGCAAATAGAAACCAGGGCCCCATTGTGCCAGGCGCTGTACGAAGATATAACAAAAAGACAGGCCCTCCCAGAAGAGCTTTCAACCTTAGTGTAAGACTATTGGCAATACGTAGATTCGAGAAGCAAGCAAAGAAAAAGTGCAAAGAAACAACAAAATGATACGGATCAGCATGAAACACCCCACACAGCAAACCACTGCCCCAGCATTGCAGCTAAATGCCACTGACCGGATTCACAGGGCAGGATTTTAATCTGTCTTTTAGGACTTGTCTTCAAAGGCAGGTGTACTGGGTCCGCTACTCTAACCCTCTGCCCCAGGGACGCTCTTGTGCCGGTAGAACAGTGACATTCTCCGGCTCAGCTTAACCCCCCACCCATCCCAAGTGACATAAACGAAACTGAAAAAAAGTCACTCTTCTGCCGGAGTGAGAGCGTCCATACACGAGGTTCCACTGGGATCATTCTATCGGTTTCAATTCACATCTTAGGTTATACTTGAAAAACTTTTCCATGAGGACAAGGTCTTTAGCCTCTAATCCACAATGGAGCTACGGCCAATTGACCTCAGCTGGGATCTGGCCCCATTGACCCCAGTGCGGCTACGGCTGATTGACCCCAGCTGGGATCTGGCTCCACTGACTCCAATGGAGTGACAGATGATTTGCCCTAGTGCGGGGATCCGGTCCATTCATGGTTGTAAGATGCTCAGATACCGAAGGGATGGAGGAGCCCAGCGGGTCCTAGGTTGATAGAACCGAATTCAGTATAATTTTATTTTTGTTGTATGAATGTCCAGAAGGAAGCTGCCTCATTTCTTTGGGGTAAAACCTCAGGAGCATTGAGCTGTCACTGAGTCTGTCTCCTTTATTATGGGCACTTTGACTGGTGTGCAACGATGCCCCAGATGGTTTATGGGGACTGAACAGGTGTTATGCTTATAAGAATCACATGGAATCTTTTAAAGGGGATAAGGCAATATGCCGCGTTTATTGAGAGTACAATTTAAGTATTAAAATCAGCATGGGCTTCCATTCACACACACACACACACGCACACACACACACCCCAAAAGGTTCTGCAGCTGGATTTTATAGTTACCAGTCCTAATGTTACTCGGTCAGTTCCAGTGGCCAGCTGAACGTGCACACGAGGGAGGGGAGCTGGGCCTCCGTCGAACAGGTTCAAAGCTCCGATGTTGATGCAGAACGAACCCAAAGTCCCATGGCAATACACCCTTTTTTTAGAATGATAAGTTCCCATACAAGTCTATGGGCCTTGCTGTGTCACACCGGAGCTGTCAATCACGAGGTATGCAAGGTTGCTGTTAATTAGCATTATGTTGAGTTGTTATGGGGAGGTTCTGCAGCTATTTCTTATCTCATCCCTTTCGCTCAACTCCTTATCTCATCCTTGGGGTGTATGCCTTTGCTTTAGAGTCGTCAATCTGCCATCTGGGGATTGATAATAAAGTTGGTGCCTTTTGACTCCTCCACTCCCTTCTTGACCATCCGGCCCAATTTTATTCATAGATTCATAGACTCTAGGACTGGAAGGGACCTTGAGGGGTCATCGAGTCCAGTCCCCTGCCCTCATGGCAGGACCAAATACTGTCTAGACCATCCCTGATAGACATTTATCTAACCAGTTGTCCTTTTTCAGTTAATTACCTACATTCTTCACTCACACCAAACAGTAAATAAGGCAATTACAGCCATAAAACGTCTATCCTTCGAAGAACAAACATTAACACAATCAGCAAAATATAAACTCAGAACGATTTCTTCGTACTAATTCAAAACTAGCAAAATGGAGTATAAGGCAAAATAAGCAAAATTTTACTTGAGACAATTTCTTCCCATGCAACTCCTGGATGGAGAATCATGAATCTTTCCTGCTTGAAGTCCAAGACTGTGTCTTCTAGACAGCAGGAGGCTCATGCAGTGCAACACCAAATCCTAGATGGCATTTTCCCTTTCTGCCTCCAGAGCTTTGCTCAGAACCCGCCGGGTGTCGTCAGCTATAGAGGCCAAATGCTTCCGCAGCATGAAGAATGTGGTAACCAGTGCCACCCCTCCGGACACCAGAGCACCAAATACGGGGAGGCGCTTCCACGAATATTCCGCTACCATCATGGCGGCCCCCACTGAATCCAACAACAGCTTCAGAGCCATCATGGGGGTCGTTCCCAAGGACGTCATCATGGCCGTCAGCTCCCCCAAGGGCCTCCGAACCTGCCGGGCGAGAGCAAGGAGGGATCTGTTGTCCACGCCGAAGTTGCTGGAGTATCCAAACAGGTGTTTCCGGAAGACAAAGAAGGTGCCCAAGAAAGCGAGGCCTGGGACAGGAATGGCAGCAAGAAGACATGAGAAAAGGGCTATTTTCCAAATCTCCCCCTTCAGGGCAGCTTTTTTCTGGTTGATGATGGGCGAGGCGACAGCAGGCAGGCTAAGCAGGAAGGCGTGTCTCCTCAGGCGCGGCAGCTCCATCTGCAAAGTTTGTCGCAGGAGTGGGAAATCGTAGCGGTTGGGTTCCCAGCTGGACACTACAAAAACCTGTGGGTGGCCCACTCCTTCAGCTGCTACGCCTCTCCTGCAATCCTCCCTGATCTGCTCCAGGATCCTCTCCTCGTCGTAGCTGGAGGGACGCTGCCTCCTGGAAGCATCCAGGTCCGCGTCGGCTTTGGAGCGCACAAAGTAGAACCTCATCCCCATTCTCTGGATCTTACAGGCCAGCCAGGCGTGGTCGGAGCGGAAGCGCTGGAAGCCAACGATGATGAAGAAGTCGTATTGGCTCAAATTGAGCCGCTCCCAGTAGGTGTCTAGAGGGAAATAGGGCGTCCCCACCCCTGGCAGGTCCCAGAGGGTGACGCCTGGGAGGACGGGATCTGGATAAGCCACCGGCATCGTCATGGTATCGAGCATCCCAGTTTCAGCAGCGCCTTCATCACCAGCACGTAGCCCCCGCATGGCGTTGATGAGGGAGGACCTCCCGGAGCCCGACTCCCCCGTGATGGCAATGCTGAGGGTGTGGCTGTTAAACGACTCTGGTGTTCTCTGCTGCACATTAGAAATCGCGTCTGTCAGGCTCCCATGATAGACAGCGGCTCTGAACCCATCGAGAGCCATGGCGCTCAGTCTGCGGCAGAGAAGAAGAAACATTTCAGCTCCTAGTTAAGGCTACGTCCGGAAAATCCTGCGCCAACAGTGCAGTGTCAAGCCCTCAAAAGTTAGGAAAAGGCACATTTATGGTGGCCCATGTAACCTTAACTCTGCCCCTTGCGTATTCGATCAATGCACTGAATGAGGCAGGGGCAGAATGGAAAAACCAGGAGTTCTTTGGTTTTAATCGTCATTTATTATTTGTAGTGTAGTGCATAGAAATGCGGACCGAGATCGGGACCCCATTGTGCCAGATGCCACACAGACCCCAACTGAGCTCAGGGCCCGTTGAGTCAGGTGCCGCACAGACCCCGACCGAGCTCAGGGCCCCGTTGTGTCAGGTGCTGCACAGACCCTGGCTGAGATCAGGGCCTCCATTATTATGAGCGCTGCGCAGCCCCACAGGTGAGAATTTTCACTAGATCTCAGCTCCCACGAACTCTCGGAAATAAGTGGGGAGATTTTTGAGCCAGCCCAGCACCCTGCCGCTGACGGGGACAATATCTCAGCTGTGAACAGGCAGAGCCAGGCTCAGACCCAGTCTTCTCCCTTGGCTGCTCAAAGGAGCCGTGGGGAGCCCTGCAGCTGCTCTCGCTCACCCCAAAGGCCTGGCAGGAAGTCGGGGAGCGCACGGCTCTCTCGGCCACATCCCAGCTCCGCGCACAGGAACAGAGGACACCGGAATTGGGGCCCAGATATTTCAACTGAAACCAAGGGAGAGTCTGAGGACCCAGAGCTGGGCACAGTTTTTTCATCCACAACTTCATC